TTCGGGTTCTTAAGACACTTGTCTTGAAGAGCCTTTTGGAGTGTTTCGAGATTGTCTATAAAAATTGAAATGCGTCTTAAAGGTTATTTAAGAGCCTTTAATGGTAACAAACTCTCCCCAATAGTTCCAAAAGCTCTTTCTTCTCCTCAACACCTGGGCTTTTAAGAGGTCCAAAGAGTCTTAAAGAATCTCGAAAACTATTTAATAACACTTAAAAGCCTTTAAAGGTGTTTTGAGTGTTTAGGAATATCCGAATCTTCTCAAGAATAGAACCATTTTAGTCTTCAAGAACGTTTGATACAATCGAAGAGTCCTTGTGCGTCTCTAAGAGCTTTTAGCAGTCTTAATGAAAATCCTTTAAAAAAAGGCTCTTATAAGTCGCCTACAGTTTCAAAAGCATCCACAACATTCCTTAGAATCTTGTCGCAGTGTTGAAGAACCATTAATAGTTTTCAATAGGGTTTAAGAGGTTTTAAGATCTTTTGAGGGCCTTATAGGGTGTTTTAGAATTTAAAAATCTTCAGAAGTGCCCTCATCTAATGATTCTAATGATCCCCACAGCCTGTTAGAGCCCTTGTAGACTAACGTGTGCCATTAAGATATGAATTAACTCTGAACAACCTTTAAAACCTATTACGCGCATTAAAACCCACTCTTTTCCAAGTTTTTTAGAACATTTAGGGGCCTCTAGCAGTTTCTAGGGGCTGTAAAAGGATTCAAAAATCTTGTAAAGGTTTTAGAGCTTTTAAAAACCTTTAACACCTCTTAGGAACCATTATTGTTGTGTAAACTAAGCCATGCGGAGATTTTACTTTACTTCAGCACCAGTAATAACGATGGGACACCCTGTATGTGAATTTCATTTATTGTTAACGTTAAATTTGGTTGTTTGTTGGAGAAAAAACTCAATGTCGATCATATTATTTGATTTCGAAGTCAATGTTTTGTATCAGAATTAATGATGTTTGATTTTGTTTAAATAATTGTGTTGTTTATTTTGTTTCGGTGATTGCGAATTTGAATTGCGTGTTGTATGATTAAGTTTATTCATCTCTAATTATTTGCGTTGTATTTGTAAAAGTTTATCTCATGTTTTTCTCCGGTCATTTGCGCGCTGAAAATTTAATTAATCTCAAGAGAAGGATGTGTTATTTATTTTTTTATTTATTTTATTTATTGTGTTACGGTAGGACGAACGGAAGTGAGGGGAGGGAAAAGGTTTTAAATAAACGAATCGGATGTTAAACGACACCTTTTGTTGGTCAAGCTTTTGTTTGGTTAATTGCAGGCCTTTTCGATCGATTTTTTTGGACGTTGAAACGTTGCCGTATTTTGCAAGACAGTTTACCTTGCCATAGAAGAAAGTTAACGTCTAAAAGTGCACGTTAAGTCGAGGAAAGGAAAGCGTATTATTAGGAAGGAGATTTCCAGTACCCGATACATGGAGTTTTGTCAACCATTAAAGGTCCAAAACTATAATAATTGTAATTACAAATTTAAGTTTATAAATAGCTTTCTTTAGTTTTCTTTGTAGTTCCTATTATTTTCTGCTATTGTAAATTGTAGATGCCTTGTGTGGGCTTGACCCGTTGGCAGCTCAAATTATTTAATTAAAAAATAAACAAAGAAGTCAGTGTCGTCTAAATCAAGGTTGAAGTTAAAGTGAGGTTCCGAGGCATCATTCGACTTGGTGTTTATTTTATGTGTTAGTGCGTTTGTTTGTTGAAAACCGGAGATTTTGGATTATTGACACTTTAGGGCAATTAAAATTTCTTTAATTCATTGTTCTATCAATCGCTTGTTGCGTGTTGTATTTTATCTGGCCCTGAGTGCCACTCTTTATTTCAGCCTGATTGTTTTATGTCAAATGCACTTGTAAATGATAGATTTTGTGATTAATAGTGCCAAAAATTACGACCTAACGTTTCATGTTTAATTTTTTTTTATTTCGCTTCCAGAATTACATCAGATGTTGATTAAAAAAGTTTTAACTAATTCTTTGGAATGTTGGAGTCGGTTGAGACTGCTAAACCAATAATATTTACATCAATATCAAGATTTTCGTCGTGGTGGAGGCTGCATGTGTCTTACAAACACTATACTTATTTATTTTAAAGGCTTTATTAGTACCTGAGTGTAATTATTGAGCTAGGTGGGTATATGTCTTTCGGGTGGTTTAATGACCCTTTGCCAATTCACATAGCAATATGAGTTTTCAAATGTTTTCAACATATCCCAGGGGATTCCTAAGGAAGAACCTTTAATTGATTTTTATAGCTTTTGAGTAGAAAATGGTCTCTAAAAGCTTTCTATAAAAAAAAAGGTTCAATTTTATTGGATAATATTTTGATGATAAATACCCAGAAATCCATGGAAACCTGGTCATAAGCGCCTTCGATATGTTTCATGTAGGTAATGAACTTACAATTGCCACATTAGCAATCACGACTCATTTCAGAAAACATATCAGGTGTTAATACCAATAACTTGCTCATTAGCGATGTTAGACAACGTCTTGTATTTGAGTCGTCTGTCATTAGGTCTTTATCCACCTGAGACATCAATTTCCTCGACCAAAGACCTCGGAAATTAAACTTCTCGCGTGGATAAAGAACCTGATGACACTCATAATTAAATAGCTATCATTTAAAGGTAATTGAGTCTTTAGGAATATCCGAAATTTCAATCTCGTTTTCAATGCTAGAGCTTATAGAACAGGCCTTCAAAAGTCTACAGACCATTCTAAGCCGTTGGAATTACGGATTTTTGAGCGTCGTGTGAACTCGTTGCGCGTGCTTTAAAGACTTGATTATACACTTGTCTCTTAACATACTATTACGTTTACCTAACGTTGCTGGCGCCAAATAAAAACGCTGTGGGCACTGTGCAATGGTATGCGATCAGTTACACCACCCACAAAACACCTGTCCAGCTAGCTCAAACAAAATAAAATTGAAATTGTTTCTATGATCAAACTTCCGTAACCTGCCACAAAGAAAAATCCCAATATTGACTTAAATTACTCATTTGGGAGACTCAGTAGACTCGATCAACTTCTGACTATTCCGAAGACTACACAACTTTTCATTAACACCTGACACAATTCTTGGACACGAGACGAAAAATCTGACATGAAAACTCTATCGGGGTCGCACAATGGGTTTGAATAAACACATAATTAACTGATTAACAATGACAAACATTTATTCCGAAAGAGGTCCCGGTGGCTTGAAATGCATTGGCATACTCCCAGACTGAGTGCATGAAATTGTTTATAAATTACGAAATTATCGATATAATAGAATAATCGCCAGACAAGGCGAGAAATTACGTCGTCATTTGCGTTTCATATAAAATGTACACATACACAATACACATGTTACCCTAAAAAAAAACAAAGATGTGCTCTATAGCTATTTGTGTATTAAGAGCGCAAAATGATATATTGTCGATTGAAAGAGACAGTTGCCGCGCGACGAAGGACCGCGGCAATCTCTTGAAATCGACAATCAATTTGCGCTCGAATTACACACAGAATTTTTTCTACAATAGGACTGTTCACATTTCCAAAAATTTACATCTTTCACTCAAATTAAAGATGTGACCTTAGATAATCTTAGATGTCATTTACTCGTTGTCATTGGACACTCTGAGCAATGCATATTTGATTTATAGTTAAAAATTAAGGAACACTCAGAAACTGAAATTGAAATTTTACCGAAATTTGATCAATTTGAAATATTGGGTCACCCATGCGCTTTTTATGTTCGTAATTTCCACGCGCTTACTCCAGGGCCAGCCTTCTTTGTACCTTTCGTAATAACTGAGATGCCAATGGAGGGTTCTAATAATATGTACACCTTATAGCGTTGAGAACACGTTATGGTTTCCAAGACGCCTTGTGGAGGCTTTTTCGCTCAATATGCGTATTCGTTATTTGAGCTTAGCATGTGTACAGGGTTCTACTATTACCCCTATCCAGTTTTTCTGAGATGCATATTTAGTATAAACTAATGAACGCAATTCGAAGTCTATGCTGCGTTATCATTCTCGCAGATACATTATGCTTCAACCAAACAATAATCTTATTAGTTACTCCGATTTAACGTTAAACAAATTAAACATAAAGCACAAATCCGGATTTGATTAACTGTCACGTTTGGCATTAAGTAGAAATAAAATGATTGAAACAAAAGACATAAGAGATTTTGGCGTATTTTGGGGTTGCGGATCTATAAGAACTGTTCATGTATAAAGTTCTTCTGTCATTTTTATTGTTTACCATAAAAAGTTTGGGAATACTAAATGAAGCGCGAGGAACAATTGTCTGTCGTTTCTAATTCAGAATGGAATATTCCAAATTTCGCCAATGTCTGCGAAAAAAATTTGTGCGTGCTTTATTTAAACCTAAATTTATTATGTACTTACTTAAATTAGCCCACTTTGTTAAAAACAGAGGAAAAATGTAATGTAACTTATAAAAGTTTGCGTAAACTTATATCAACTGCTGAAATGAAGATAAACTGTACAACTCGGGAAGCGAAAGCTTCGCCTGCCAAACTTTTTTCTTGCTTTTCTATTTCATAATTGTTCTAAACTACTTACACGTGGGACAGTTGATGCTAATACGCGGAAATTCGGGAGATTGAAGGAAAAGTCTGGCAAATCGATCTGTGTTTAGTATCGTAAACACTTCTGCGTTCGTTACCCCCACCGACCGCCTAATAGGGCATTATTTAGGACGGATAACACTCTGCAGTCCAGTGAAAGATTTTTATTTCCGTTGCCAAATCGCCCTTCCAGAAGTTCAATAAGACGCAGCTGCACGTACTTGAAGGTATAAACTCCGAAGAATGTTTTGCGACCGTCCTAAATCGCTTATTCTTATGCGCCCTACGAATTTCATATATTCTAATTCACTCTATTGCACCGCGTGGAAAAGTAAATACGTATTGCTAACCGCTATAGAGCGTAAATGTTTATTTGATAAAATAACTTACCAAAGAGGTTATTAGGTAGCTGTGGTAATCACTCATCATTCCAATTTGCTGGGCCTGCTTCAAAACATCGTAAATTTTCTCGGTTGAGCAGTCTAAGACGATGTGAGACTCGGCCGAGTTCTTGATTTGTTTCAGAAGGGGCCTGGAAAACAAATTAGACATTATTAATATCTACGAGTAAAATCCTTTTATCAAATTTGTTTTAATCAACTTTTGGCTACAACAAACTGAATTCGGTGGATAGCTTTATCAGTTTGGTGTTCAAATATTAACTTATATTATTAGCTGTAATATGCCGCCAAATGTTTTTGGTCCTATATACGAAAGAAGAGCGGTAGCACTCGCGTCCCTGGAACACTGAACTATAAAAATCAAACTATCGATAGCCCACAATCAATTGTGGACACTTTCGCCGAATACTTCAAAAGCGTTTATAAACAACCTTCTTCAACAAGCGATACGGTGCCTCCTAGTATATTTAGTGAGCTGATTAATATCAAAGCTAATGTCAGTGAGGAAGACGTTATCGCTGCCATAAAAAAACTAAAAAATAAACCCACTGCAGGAACTGACCAAATTCCAGCGTACCTAATTAAAGACTGTGCCCGCATATTTTCGATACCACTGTCAATGTTATTTAATTTATCACTTAAAAACTGCGTTTTTCCATCAGTATGGAAAACTGCAAGGAGCTCTCCCGTACTAAAATCTGGATCTCAATCGGATGTGGAAAACTACAGACCCATATCTATACTCTGCAATTTTTCCAAAGTATATGAGATAATGCTTCATGAAAAGCTGGCTTTTCAATTTAAAGCACATTTGTCGGAGCATCAACATGGATTTCCATCGAAGCGATCGACTATAACAAATCTGGCCTGCTTTACGGAGTACTGTCTGGAAACTTTAGACGAACAAGGCCAAATTGACACTATATACACTGATTTTCGTAAAGCCTTCGATCAAATTGACCATAACATTATACTTGGCAAGCTAGAGAGCTATGGTTTTAGCAATTCGCTACTTAAGTTGCTGAGGTCTTACCTGTTACACAGGAGACAAATTGTATCATATGGCGGGTATAATTCAAAATCGTTTACCCCAACATCCGGAGTGCCCCAAGGATCTAACCTGGGTCCATTTATATTTTTAGTATTCATTAACGACTTACCAAATTTCATTTCTGCTAGAAAATTGATTTACGCCGATGACATGAAAATATTTAAAAAGATAAATAATATACATGACTGTCAGATTCTCCAGAACGATTTAAATGTTATATATGATTGGTGTGAAAATAACAAACTACACCTAAACATTACTAAATGTAAAGTGGTGTCATACTCACGAAAAATCAACCTCTTCGTTATACATATACAATAGCCAACGAAACGTTAAATAGAGTCACCATGGTCAAAGATTTAGGCGTCACTTTTGATAATATGTTAACGTTTGCGTTTCATATTAATGACATGGTAAATAAAGCAATGAAAGTAGCGGGGGATGTTATACGCGTCAGCGCGGAATTTTCCAGCATCGCAACAATTAAATCTCTCTACACAACATTGGTTCGACCTAAACTGGAATACGGAGCAATCATATGGAGTCCACTGTACAAAAAGTACGAAAATGACATCGAACATGTGCAGAGGAGAATTATTAAATATATGTGTTTCCGCAAGGATGGTCACTACCCGGAAAGAGGCTACCCCCAGGCAATTATGCTAGAAAACTTTGATCTTGTCCCGCTAGTAGTTAGGAGAAGGCGAATGGCTGTTACTTATCTATATAAGCTTGTGCACAACCTAACTGACTGCAATTTGCTACATAACTCGATAAAATTTTATATACCACGTCCCTCATCTAGGAATAAAATCACATTTCAATTGCCAAGATGTAGAACCAATATCAGACAAAGCTCACCGATTTATACAATGTGTTATCACTATAATGATATTTCAAGTCATGTAGATATTTTTCACACTCCATTACCTATCATCATTGAATTTATAACTATCAGAAGCGCAGGTTAAATGGCAGGATATGTGACTGTTTTCAATAGTTTAAATTACAAGACGTAGATGTCTCTACCATCGAGAAAGATGAATAATAATGTCAGTTTTTTACCTTTGTTAATTATTATACAGGAATCTGTAATGAACCCACTATCTCGATTTGTAATTGTTGTATACAGAATTCTAGATACCCAAGAAACGTACTTATAAGGCATTTATGTGGCACACAGGATGTTGAATGACGTAAGATAAACATTCTTCCTTTCATGAATCGTGACCTTACTTAACATTCCTTAAGGAAGATTGAATTACATTTGAGCAGGAAAGCAAAAAATACGCAGGCATCCTTGATCACTGTAACAGAAATTAAATGTACCTACCTATCTATTCTTAATTTTTGTGTGTGTCGGTTAAACCGTTGCCACCGGTTAAACTACCTAGGACAGGGGTCGGCAACCTATTGAAACGGAAGAGCTAAAAATTACAATTTACAAAATTTCCCAATTCTTAAAGAGCCACAAATAATTTTTGATTCAATATTATAGTTTTTGGCTATATACAGGGTCCTGCAACAGTCCGTCGGTTTTTCCTACATAGCTGATAGATACCTGGTAAAAATATTGGTGGTTGCGGATCTACAGAAATTATTTTTGAATGTACAGGGTGTTCCATTTTTACGATGTCAATTAATAACTGATCTTTTTAAATAGAACATCCTGAATATTTGGTTGTTTCAATGCCGTTTGTTCAAAGTGCTATAACTATTCTTTTTCAAATGGAACTACCACTATTTTATTTCGCTATTCGCTTTTGTCTTCTCTTAAATGTTTATAAGGGGTGCCCTGTGCTTAAACTCCGCAGTGTTTAGGTTATTCAATATTTTTCACAAAAGTACCTACTCATTAATTAATTACGTGTTTATACATCGGAGTAGGCTGGCTATAATAAAAAAAACAAAAGAATACCAGAAAGTAAACAAGTGTCAAAAATTAGATAATTATTTGCTGCAAGTATACTTTTGATACAAAATAAGATTAATTAAAAAGGCGAATTTCGAACAAATGAACTAATTTCTTTAGATAAATACGGAGAGCCGCAACTTTATAGGTATCAAAAGAGCCGCAGGTTGCCGACCCCTGATCTAGGATCACACGTCACACCTGGCAATTTTGATACAAAATAAAAAGGTCGTTAACCTCTTTTCTTTTAAATTCTGACGTTTGAAATTTGTTCTCAATGGTTAATCGATAACTTATCGATAATTATCGATTAATAGATAGTCAATCGATAAATTTAAAAAAAATGGTCGACCGGTCAACAAAAAAAGAATTTTTTGCGCATGGGATTTACACAATATATATTCTGACTATAATAAGCAAAAATAAATAAAAAGTGCGATTAAGACATCGAAAATATTTGCTTTTACAAAAGTTACAGCGATTTGATTGAAAGCTTTCAGGGGCGAAAATTAAAGCTGGAATCTTTGTTTTCCCTAAAAAAAAAAGAAAAATGGAGGGTGATATTTTTCCGCGGTTACTTAGCAAAGAGGAAAAAAAATCCTGGAACAGTTTTAAGGCAATAGTCCATGGTTTCCCGTTCAGTGTTTCCTGGGAAACCATAGAGCTGAAAATTATGACGAGCTGACAGGATTTGGTTTTGTATCATGGGGTATAGAATGTCTCTAAAGAATAAAGATGCACAGGTTACATTCTCATTTAGATCAATTTAAGGATAATATGGGAGCTTATTCGGAATAAGGACAACACTTTCTCGAGACAATGGAACTTAGGCACCTTCCCAAGGCCAGGAAGTTGGAAGCATGATGGAAGATCAGATTCAGTTGAACATGACAAAAACAGCAAAACTGTTCCATTTTTAAACATTTAGACTCTAAGATAAACAAATTATAAATGTAGAAACGTTACCATTTAATAAATCATGCCTATGTAAGTAGGATTCTATAGGTATTTTTATTTTTTGGTTTTTTGCATTTTTTTCACACAAAAACAAATACATAACCATTTTTTGTTCTAATTCTTATTTGTGGCTATAGAAGCAATAAAAATAAGGTATATATGTCCCATGCGCAAAAATGCTGTAGACCGGTGTAATTTATCGAAAATGTTAAAGGATTGGTCGATAAACCTATAATTTCCGATAATCTATCGATTAATCTCACAACTAAACTATTAAGATAGATAATTATCGAGAGAATTTTTAACGACATAAACTTTTCAATGTTTAGGTATACCAGTTTACTTCCAACAAAAGCGATGTAAAAGCATTGTTGAGTTGCCATATGATCACAATTCACAACCTACTGCTGTACTCATTTTTGAGGATTATCGTCCACTTGATCACCTTTGATTTCAGACAACTTGAGCATCAAAAGATCCTGTTTTATTTAAATTATCTCTCGCAATATCAATACCAAAAAAACAAAAATGTTAGCGAGTGTACGCATGGATGATGTAATATATCGATTGAGAATATATATCGATGAGATTTATGAAAAAGTATCGATAGTTTTCTCTTGATAATTTCCGCTACTTATTTATTAATCGATAAATATCAGAGATAGACAATTTTCGTGGCAATAATAATCGATTATTATCAGCAGCTAACAATCATTATTAATTATTTTCAAAAGTTATCGATAATTATCAAACGTTATCTTTCATTATCGAAAATTAGCCTTACGATTTATCGATAATTGTCGATTATTATCGAAAGTTAACGATAAGTGATCAAAGTTATCGATAATTATCGATAGTTATCAATTAATGATTAATCGATAATTATCAGACTGAACAGACTTATCGATAAATCGATAACAATTTCATTTATCGCTCAGCTCTAGTAGGTATACGAATTCACGTAAACTGGGACCGATTTATTTGTGCACAATGCTGCATGGTTATAAAAAAAGCTGATTCGCGAAATTTAGTTATCAAATGTGAATGTGGAAATGATGTAGCTGCCTGCTTGCAACGGACAATATTTTGCCTTAAAATTTTTTTTGATCGTTTTTTAATAACAAAATCTCCCGCTTTCAGTAAAAATGTGGAACCTGCCTATTTTACTGCCTGTGAATAGAATGTATGAAATTGCATTCCTTCAAGGACAA